AACTGGATTTCACACGCTTTGCATTAATTTCGGACATTTTTATCAAAACTATTGTCTGAAATCAAAAATGCTGAGCTACGAATAATAAAGACTGCGTTCATTTGCATAAATATTTTGCGGTAATTTTAATAAAACTTTCCTGTTGCAAATGGTTTAATAGTTAAATTGTTAAATAATTAATATTCAAAATGTTGACATAAATGTACATCATCAAATCAAAGTTTCAAAACATCAAATGTGCTTCATAAAACCATAAATAATTTACTTTTTACTCCCATCGTAATTTTTTATGCTTTCGATTTACTTTTTTTATTATTTTTTTGTGGACTTTCTGGCCTCGACGAAGTTCAAGTTATTTCTCTCTGGCTTTTATCTTCATCATCGACTTCATATCGACTGAAACCGGCTTTAAGATTATCGCAGTTTTTGGCGTTCCGTATTCACGTAAATAACTGACACACTGACACATACTACATTTAATTATAAACTTCACGGGCTAACATTTATTTAAATGGTTGATTAATTAAATATTGTTTACAGTCGTTAACCATTTATCAATATTAACTTATATTTTATTTTTTTGTCACCTCACTACTGCAAGGAAATATTACCTATTTTTACACTTCGTAGCTCCGCACAAGAGAATTAATTTTAGTTGCACTTTGTTTAGAGAGCAGTTCTGACCACATCGGTAATTTAAAGTGCACCGGACATTCTGCATGTTTTATACATCATACGATAGATGATATAAAAAACTTTATCAATGGAAGGTTTTTCATTTGATGGACTTAGGACTTAGAATTTTTTAGTATTTGTGTAAATGTCTGTGTTGAAGTGCTAAATCCAAATGTATTTACTGTCAGTGTTTTCAGATATTTATATAATACATTAAAAATGTATATTATGTCTAAATAATTTTCGAAGTTGTCATATATAAAACATAGCAACAGTTAAAACATTTTACTCTTTTTTGACATCGATAGCATATACGAGTATTTATTTCCGGCAGTACTGTCAAATGCTTACATATCAATTTCAAACGCGGTATATCTCGCATATTGGTTCCTATAATTTAGTAGGAACTGCAAGTTGCTCTCTACGAATTTAATTATGTTAAACTTATTTGTTGTCTACAAATTCTTACTAATTACAACGTTAATATCCGCCTATATTCAAGATTATTCATTCTAATTTTTTCTTTCCTAAGTTCGATATTCCGATAAAGCGAAATCTTAGAAATCGAGTGCCGCAGTAAATGAACTATATGAAAGAAACATTACTTTCTATATCCAAAAAAATAAGCAAACTAATAATATAGTCAGCAAATGTTGATCTAAAAATCAAATTTATTAGGCTTTCCTAAAACATATAGTATGTGGAACATATAAGATATGCGAGATAGATCAACATTTGCGGACTATATTTAACACTTTACTCTATTTAACACTTTAAACACATTGTATTAATTTATATTGATGGATATTGAGACAATTACTTTATGAAACTGGTATAAACACCATATATTTATGGTTTCGCAAAATTTCACTATCTGTGGGATGTTACAGACACATAATTCAAAAGAAAAAGTAAGTACAGGTTGGAAGGTTTTTATTAGAAGTTTTTACCTTATAAGTCACTTGATTATTCATTTGATTAATATTGTTCATTTCATTTGTTTCAGATTTCTCCCACACTAATCAACACTGGCCTACTGGGCAAGCATGCACTCATTCGAAACCCATTCATTTGCTTGATTTTTATGTTTTAATATGCACAACATTAATAATTACTCTTTGAATATACATGTTATACTACTTATTATTTATTATTATTATTGTGGATAGTCTGTGCATACACTGTGACCTTAAAGATCTTATGTGCAGCCCGTTGCCCAACTAGTTCAAATCCAAACTTATGACGAATTTTGTCACAATTGTGGGCCATATTTTAGCTAGCTGTTTGAGGCTCAAAACTACACTGCCTAGATAGTTAGGTATGCGTTTTGCCACGCTTCACACGTGTTCTCCTGTTTTCTGGAAAATATAAATGCAATTCTTCTCAGCCGTACTTGCTAGATACACTTAGAGAGACTTTGTGCAAGAGGTACAAGTTTGGACTTCAACATATTATAATTTATATGTATGTACATTATAAACATTATGCAAAAGTTAAATGATCCTCAATTTCAAGGGAATCAAAATCAAGAGGATCATCCACTCAAAACTAAATTCTAATATCCAACCTTTGAATTTACGAATAAAGGATGAATATAAAACTAATACTCATATAACTATTTTACATTTGTAATATAATTAACTAAATCCCGATGAACATCATTTTTTAATTTAACTTTTAAACTTTAACTGAGCTTTTAAATATAAATGAACAAGCAGTTTAAAACACACGAAATAAAATTTTGTTAAAAATTCATATTTAAGGAATGAGATAGAAAAGAATCTGATCCAATGTATCTTTTACCGCGAAACAAAAATTTCTTTTATTAAATTTATAAAATTTTCGAACAAGAAATTATAATAATAATATACATACAATTAAAGCAATGCATTTTTCATTTTTTTTCTGTGAGATCATCTATTACTAGTGACATAGATCGATAAGGTAGATTAAGTAGGATTTATGTTATGTTATATGTAAACATCGAAAAAAAAGCTATGTTTTGCTTTCATGTTGTTTAAGTAGAAGATTGTTTATTCTGTGACTGAGTTCATGAATTATATGAGTGATTTAAAATAGTTGTATGATCACAGATAATGAGCAACTTGTTGGCCAACCGAACTCCCAGATTCTCTCAAGATTCTATATAAAATTCTCTTAGAACAGCTAAAGTCTACAATAAAATTCATGGAATAGGAGTTGAACATAATATATTGATTTTTGATCCAACATTTTGAAATAGTTATGATCGATATACAAGAATCGTTCTAAAGTAAACAGGATCGGTATTTTTAGTAGGTAATCAGTTCTATATAATATGCTTCAGTTGTATGTAATTATACACATCAGTAAGGTCACCAAAATCTGTATTCAACGCATTGAATACCGTGCGAGTCATACATTTTCGGAAAAAAGAATTAGCTGTTGAAAGGAAAAGGATTTGTGGATGTATAAGCTAGTCTAGTCAATAAGGTTGTATCGGTACTCCGACCAGTGATAATCATTCGACAGGTAAAAGCATCCATACAAATGAATGTACTAAGTCAAAAGATAACATTTTTCAAGAAAATTATTGGAATTCGCCAAAATATACTTTTTCTTATTCTTATTTTTAACAACTTGTGTTGCCTTTGAAAATAAACTTAGTTCGTTATTGCCGATATTGCAGATATTGTAAGTGGTGATTAAGTTGTTTGAATATAGCAAATTTGTTACTCATTTTTTTAAACCATTATTATAAAATTTTTTATATCATATTTACATATCATATTTATTTGTTTTGTTTTGGAAGTTTGAGTTATCTTAAATCATCATTTTAGGTAACATGTTAATGATAATGATACATTTCATACAAATTTCAATACATTTCATAAATAAATAAATTAATAAATAAATAATAATAATAAATTAATAAACATAAATAATTTTTTTTTTGTGAAATAATGAATTCAACTTAATTTAATACTTAATACTTAAATAGGTTGGAAGTTTACGTTTTAGAGGTTTTTTTGTACCCTAGTTCCAAGGCAGGAAGTCTTCTCATTTCTAAGTTTATCTGCTGCAGCAGTTTAGATAAGTGGTTAGCACTGCTTTTTTGAATTGTTTTGCATATAGTAGGGATATTCAGGTCTTTGTGATTATCGTCGCTTCTCATGTACCATCTAGCATCTACTATCTACTATCTATTCTTAATTTTAATTAATTGAATTTCAGTTTGATCATACAGCTGTTTTGAGTATTGGCAAATACCCATCATCAGTGGTCTTGGAAATAATACTTCTGTTTAATTATTTTTAAATAATTTTTTTTTTTTGACTGCAAGTACCAGAAAATGAACTCGTGTCCTGCCAAATTTGAAGCTTAGAGTCAGTGCACCTTAACCAACTGACTCAAAGCCGTACTTGACTTTTATGTTCGCACATTTTTCTGGAGTTTTGTTATAACAAATTCACTTGCTGTGTTTATATTAGAACGAAATCCTAAACCAACTGTAGAATAATTGAATTAATTAATTATATTTTTATTTTTAATTCTTAAATTTCAATACTATTTAAAAAATTATTAATTCCTTTATACGACGATCGTGGGTAGGAATGGCGAGTGTGATTATGATAAAACAATAAAATGTTAACAAAATGTTATTGCTATGTGGATTTGTGAATATTATTCTGATATATATTGTTCTCACTGCTTCTCCAAACTATTCACAAAAATTTTACTCGCTTTTATAAACAACCTGTTACTCGCTTAATATATCGAGCGCACACTGCTGCTTGTCAGCACGTTTATTTATTGTTATTTTTTTTAACACATATACTCGTACATTCATCAGTTCATCAGTTCGCTGTTCGGCAAACCATGCAGTAATAACGACGAATTGATAAGAACTGAGGTATTGTTCGCAGCACTGTTACTTTCGCACTGTTGTTAACAGCGGTCTTGTGTCAATACTGGTGTTAGTGGTGTTAGTGGTAGTCATGTTATATAGCAGTAGTGCTGTGTTGTCATGCTATAACAGGGAATGTGCTATAGATTCTTGGAGTTTTATCGACAGCTATTGCACTGTGATGATCGTACTCTAATGTTATGTCAATAAATATGAATAAAAGCATTACTGCTACTTTTGCTGTCAATACAAAGCAAACAATCAACGGATACGCGCGGTTTTGTCAATTATAGGCAAATAATATATTATTTACACATAGAGTGTGTTGGAATATAGTTTTTTATTCTCGTTGTTTTTTTTGTTTTTGTTTTTGTTTTTGTACTTTAATGACTTGTTAATTCGTTTTTTTATCGTTATTATTTTATTTGCACAATTGATAATAGTCTCTGTGAATTATCTTTGATTTTTCTATATAAAGTATTTAATAAAAGTTTGGTGATGTTTAGACTATTGATTCAATGTTGAAGTGATTGAGTAAGGTGCCAAGTTTGTGAATGAATACCCGCGTTGCGGCAAAGAAGAACAAACGGACGAAATTAAGATTTCAGGAAGAAGAATACAGGAAGAATTTATAAAAACTGCAATATAAAGAAATCACTAGGAAAAAGGAACAAAATTTGATAAGTCAATTTGATTAAAATAAAAAGTAAGTCTCTGAAATGTTTAATATTTCGTACGTTTTGTGTATATTTTTTAAATTTCTTATCTTGAGCTTATAGTGCGAATTGTTTTGTTCCACACGATTTAAATCAAATCCCAATTGCGCTCTTATCAATTTATTTATTTTTGTTTGAGCAATTAATTTTTTCGCTTTTGGTTTTATTTTTTTTTAATTTTTCGTTTTTTTCGTTTTTTATTTTTTATTTTTTTTTTGTTTTTTTTTGAGATCAAGGTGGCGTGCTAGTGAATTATATATGTTCTTCTTCATTGTTCTTTAACATTTTTGTACAACTTTATAGAGATATACACGTACATATATGTACGTTTTTAATATTTAGCAGTTTTAGCAGTGCTCAGTTTCAGTTTCAGTACATTTCAACATATTCCAATTTTTCAGTCGCACAAGTTTTCTTTGGTTTTTTACTGTGAGTGTGTTAACAGTGTGGAAAGTAGCGAGCTCGCAGTACCCGGAGAAGGCGCGAGTTTTGTGGAAGCTTTTGCATTTGAAAATCGGTTGTTTTGAACAAGTGACAAGTGACTTCTATATTGAACTAAATATCTGAATATTATTCAGAATATATTTTATCAATATATAAAATATTGCTTTGAAAGAGGTAAGTTAAAGGGTGCAGTGCCTACTATGTGCCTACTATATGCTTACTATGTGCTTACTATGTTGTGTGTAATATCTCTGCGAAGAGTTGAAAGTGACTTTTACGCAATCCAAAAATTGTCTGATTTCATAGCCGTATAGCTAGTGCGGTCGTGTCATTTTTGTCATTCATATGCCTCTTCGAATGCTAAATATAAACATTTTAAAATACATATTGTTTTTGCGTATAAATAAAACAAAATAAAAAATTAAATAAAAAACTAAATAGCCCAAACGAATATCGAGCAGATTTATTGCTTTACTTCGCTGGATAAAATAATAATATTATTTTCAAATAAAACTGGCTGAGTAAAAACATTCTAATAATCAATAATGCTTTAATACAATTTTAATTATTATTTTTATAAACATATCTTTAAAATTTCGTCTAGATAGAACATTTCAAGATCTTGTCATAGATATCTTATCAACGTTTATAAAAAAAATTTTCTTTGGCAAACTGAATGTTTATTTTTACGTGAACTTGTTCTTTCTCATAAGCTAAAAACGTGATTTTAATGTTTATCTATAAATTACTTTAGTGACCTTCGCTAATATTAATGAAAGCTCTTCATCATCAATATTTGACTTCTACTTTACTTTTGTGGACTTAGTTGTCGATACATACCGTAGCATGTATAATTAAGGAACAGGTAGAAGTGAACTTTGGTTACTTTGGTTATACATGGTACAATATAAATACCGGAAGAATTTACTACAATTTTATTTATTGTTTCATTAAAGAACCAAAAAATTAAAATATGTATGCTACCGGCTAAATTCTAATCCACAACTTCCGATATATTGAGCCTTATATTTCTGATAACGGCTTTATATTTTGTATCATTTTGTTTTAATCGTACCGGCGCAAGAGTAACCACATTTTTTAATATAAAATAAACTTCAAAAATATTTTTATTTCTACACTTCGTATAATAGTATAAATAATTCAAAAATAGTTACTTATTAATATGAATACTTCTTTCTACTTCTCTTGTATATTCTTTCTTGGACCAATATGACAACATAAAAATCTAATTTTATTTTTTTATATAACTTACATCATTACGACAACGATTCGGTACATCATTCGAGGTATAGTTACACATAAACTTTCCACCGTATAACATTTCTGGGTCCCTGAGGTGACGGTTATCCTTTAAACAAGTTTTCAATAACTTCTTGCAAATAATTGGATTCTACGGTAATTAATCATATTATTCTGCGGAGATAACAATGATTTCAAAAATAACCTAATTCGCTATACTGAATTTTAGAAATCAGTCTAATCAATTCTAAATAAATTTAAATGTGAACTACAAGCTTTAGATAAAATTTGAACTTTAGCACTTTAGAAAAGAAAATGCTATAGCATTTAAAACAGGAAATAGCAGGGCACATACTATGTACCTGTACTGCTGTACCTAGACATTGAATCCAATATCAAAGGTCAGGGAATAAAAATTTCAAAATTTCAGGGAATTATTTAAAAGCGCGCCAACATAAGTAGTTAGATTTTTTAATAGTCTAGAATTGTGTTGATGTTAAATACAAAAATGTACGAAAGAGTCGGATTGCATACATAGTGTTAAGCTATAATTCATTATTATAGAACACATGTTATTATTTTCTTAATAGATTAACAGGTTATTGCTGTTTGCATACAAATCTGAAATCTTCAAAGCTTCTAAGTCTCAAAATAGGTGGTAACGTTTATATGTTTATTTCGAGAAAGTAAAGCTAGAGATGCCTTGGACTATATTCCCATGTGAGTATACCAAAGATTGCTAAGATAGCTAAGTTTATGTGAGTGCTTTACTGTGGACTAAAATACATATATTCCCAAAAAAGTATTAAATCAATTTCTAAAACAATATTATTAAGATTACTTTCAACTTATTGATATAGTGGTTTATAACATGACCTCATGTCCCACAGGGAAGGTGATTAAGATGGCAAATCTTAATTCCGGTGGCAAACGCACTAGTTATTTATTTGTTTTATCTATTTCATAAATATTTTCTTTAAATTTGGAGATCCTGTATTAATTATTACATTAGAGACAAATTATCTCTAAAAGGCAAAGAAAGCGATTATGATTAACGAAAAACTAAGGTACTCATAACTTCTATTTTTCTGTCAGCTATAATATTGTTTCAATCTGAGCTAAAAAAGTTCTTTGATTAGGCACGAGAAGTAAGCGATTAGGAAACACTTATCTAATGCCTCACTTATTTTATAAATTTCCCTAGAGACGATTTTATTTAAGTGATCACAATGATCAATTAATATGATGTGATTTTTTATCACTGAGAAAACATTAGTAAAACAATTTTATACGCCATTTGTTTCTGGTATAATGTTTTACATAATTTTTATATACATTTATTATGATAATCTTATATATATTTATTCTAGAACATTAGACTTTAAAAATGGCTTGATCAAAGTTTCCTATGTCCATCAAGTAATATAGAAATCGAACTTCAGTATCCTTTACCATAATTAAAAAAGAAAAAGAAGTTTGAAAAAACAGACATTCGGTATAGATAGATTTTTATAGATAAGAAAGATATGAATTATCAAAATTTTTTTTTAATCATTAAACTAAACTTTCACTCACTAATTTTTTTTATATTTTAAAAAATGTTTTACAAATTTCTAAATGGCGGAATTTTGTTTGAAAAGGAAATTAATTTATGACATGGGGATTATGTTGGTGTTCACACTAAATTACTTTGAGGTTGTTTGGTTTAAAATTGTTTTTAAACTGAATAAAGCCAGCATATTCAATATCAATAGAAGTACTCGAATATTTTTGTAAATATAATATCATTTAATAATACTAATTAGATTCTGTTAAAAACAATTTAAATTCCACTGTACCCGTTTTCATTTTGACATGGTAAATTAAAAATTTAAAATTCAATGCATATATAAATAAGTATTGTTAAATTAAATTAATTATATGTTTAATTAATTTTTTTTATAAAACAGTTTTAATTATTCGGTATTTAGCTACAATAAATTCAAGTTACTGTGAACGGACGCACTCGATACCAGAATGTTTGAAAATATACAATAGACATTTAAAACCTCATGTAACAAAGGCAGTATTTCCTGTAACTGGGTTAAGGCTCATCTAGAAGTTTACTTTTAAATTATTAATTCAAGTAATTATGAAATTATCAAAAGTATTTGAAAAATAAATATTTATTAAATATTTGAAGTACATTTGATATGACATAAAGGTTTGTTATAGTGCATTTCATTAATTTCAACAGAATTTTAATTCTAATAGACTTAAAAACATAAGTAATTTGATACATCTATAGTCATAAACAAAAAAAAATTATGACTCTATGGTTATAAATTAAATTTGTAACTCATTAATTTATGTTTAAAAAAAATCTCAATAAACTGGTATATTTTAGGGTATGGTCAAAACTAGTATTTAATTTAATAAATGGTTTGACATTCAATGTATCATAAATCTATTAAAATAAAAACTAAATAATTTTGCTAGCATATTTCGAAATACTAAGAAGTTGACAGTCTTTTTAATTTGCCGATATATAGCTTATATAGATATAGGTATTCATTCTAATCAATAACGCATTCAACAACAATTATCTGAATATAAGAGAGATATGAACGTTTTAGATAACATTCCACTTTAAAGTGGAATTCATATGACGCATTTATTAACACCATCGACTATTTACTTGCATTCAGATAGTGGCCATTCCAGTCTGTTTTTATAGCGTACTATATTGTCTGTAGCGTACTATAGTCATTTCTGCAATTATAGTATCAGTTTAGCCGTACATTTGGCTTCAGATGTTCCCTGATTTCTTAGAGTCTATTCTACATTCGATATACTAGTTGTTATTCTTGTAGTGCTATTCTTTGGAAGGGTGTGAATATCTTTATCCCACAATTTGCTCTTATCCTCTCTGATATTAGTTACATTTACTAAAAGTTTCCTCTCGTTGGTTAATGGTTGATAATATTTGCAATGACACCTACATTAAGTACATTAGGATGAATGACATCCTCAGGTACTTCAAGATTGATGCGATTAAAAAATACATAAAGGCTAGAGCCCTAAAACTATTTACGAAAATCGACAGGTTTACCAACACCGCGTCGTCTAATCTCAGAATGGTTACAGGCTCCTCGAGGAGGTATGCAGATCGGAGGTCAGTTATTGCTTAATCTGATGATAAACAATAATCCAGTTAAGCTGTAGAGAGGGGTTATGAAGAAACCTCGCAGTTAGTAGAGAGTAAAAGTGCTTAAGTGCACTAACTCAACTAGCCTCAACATAATAA